GGGGTGGTAGGGTAAAGGGTTAGGGGGGATAGGGGGAGGAATTTGTTTTAGAAATTCAATTAAATCATCTAAATCACTGCCAGGAGCAGACTGTGATAGTGACCATGTACCAGCCATGTGTAAAATGCAGATGAGACTGAAGAAACCTCAAAGGTCAAAGTACCAACCAAAATTTGATATAGATCTTTTAAAGACAAATCAAGAACTGAAAGAACGTTTCTCCATTGATGTAAACAATAAATTTCAAGCTCTGGAAAACATTACTAAATCGGAAGAACTTATGGGGGAAAATAAAAGACTCAATAATGGAAGTTGTGGAAGGAAATATACCCCAGAAAGCTAAAAGGGGCACACAAAAAATAGATGACCAAGGACATATTAAAACTAATGGAAGAGAGAAGATAGGCAAAATCAGTTGTGGAAAAGTACAACATCTTAAACAGGGAATTAAAGAAAAAAAATGCAACGAATGATCAGTGTCAACATAATAAAGAAGAACCAAAACAAAGACAGCAAGTACATGCATTTCAAAATCAAAGAACTAAGTGGGATAAAAAGGAAGCTTAAATACAGGATACATAAGATGACAAAGAGGAGATAAAGGAAATTGGGAATGTCTTAAACAGATGGTCAGAATACATAGAAGAACTTTTCAAAGATAATAGAGGAGAAAAACCGGTAATAAAGAATGAAATAAATGGACCGCCAATACTGAAAGCAGAAGTATATGCTGCCATTAGGAAAATGAAACAAGGAAACGCCAAAGGGCCGGTTAATATTCCAGTTTAAATGATTGTCGCGCTTGAAGAACTAGGCACTGAAATACAACAAAGCTTCTAAAAGCTATGTATGGCAGCGGTGAGATCCCATAACGTATGATAAAGTCAGTTTTTATAGCTTTATCAAAATCACGAGGTGCCACTGAGTGTGATATACATAAGATACTTAGCCTTATGAGTCTTTTGACAAAAATTTTGTAGCGAGTAATAATGGGAAGATTGAGAAAAAGTGTAAGACCAGAGATATCTAAAATGCAATTCGGTTTTGTTCCTGACAAGGGCACCAGAAATGGTATATTCACCTTAACCATTTAAATAGAAAGATGTATTGAAGAACAGAAAGATCTGTATTTATGCTTCATAGATTATTCAAAGGCGTTAAAAAAAAGTTAGACATGATGAGCTATTTAATATTATGCTGGACAAACTAGACATAGATGGAAAAGATATAAGAAGTATCAGGAATTTGTACTGGGACCAAAACGCTGCTGTACGAATTAATGGAGAATACAGTGAATATAAGCAACTTAGGAGAGGAGTGAGGCAAGGATGTCTTATGTCACCAGACTTCTTTAACATGTACAGTGAAACAATCCTTAGAAACATAGAAGAATTTCCAAGTCTCAAAGTAAATGCAGAAGTTATTGATAACCTCAGAAGACACAGTTTTGATAGCAGGCTCAGAAAAGGACCTGCAATTGCTTCTAGTTACTGTTGTAACAGAAAGTGAACGTAAAGGATTAGTGTTGAATGTACTGAAAACAGAATGAATGGTAATATCCAAAAAAGCAGTAAATCCTAGTTGTATTCTCATAAGCAGAGGTGAAAAGATCAAACAAGTCCAACAGTTTATATATCTAGGATATATTATAACATCTGATGCCAAATGTTCCACAGAAATAAAACGGAGCATTACAATGGCTAAGGCTAATCCTGAAAAATAGAAACATCTCAATGACTACCAAAATGAAAGTTCTGAAATGCTATGTATGGTCAACCCTTCTATATCGCTGTGAATGTTGGACAATCACTAAACACAGTGCAAATAAGATAGAAGCAACAGAAATGTGGTTTCTTAGGAGACTGCTAAGAGTATCGGGGAAGGAAAAGAAATCAAATGAGGTAGTGCTTGATGAAGCCCACGTGGGACACTCACTGTTAAAAACAATCAGGAAACGACAAATGCAGTTTTTGGGACACTTGAATAGAGATATAAGAGTTTGGAACATCTAGCTCTCACTGGCAAAATTGAAGGCAAACGAGGCACGGGTGGGCCCAGAGAAACCTACTAAGGGAAGCTACATAAATGGGTAACAGGGAAAGATCAAAGAAATGAATGGAGAACCATGATCGCCGATTTCTGGCGCAGATCTGTCACTGTGTGATGATATTGGGAGGGTGTGACTGGGTGGGGCTCTGGATGGGGTGTGGGAAATGTGGATTAGAAAGGGGGAGGGGGGGG